AAAAGGCACTTTTCACATCCATTTGAAACAATTTGATAAAACTTACCATTTTCCTGCGCTTAATCTCATTTTCAATACTTAACAAAGTAGAATTTTAAGTTTTGACAGAAGTAAAGAGAAGTATAGATATGTTTACCAAAGTCATTGGCGAACATATGAGAAAGATTGGTGCTTTCTTTGCTTGTAAATGTAGCAAACAGATCTATTCAATCAAAATATAATAACTATAAATATGCGCATAAGGAACCATGACATATACTACCTGTATATAAATAGAGCGATTGGGGCCATTGGGTTTCCTGTATTAATTGCTTTTATTTTTGTCTTCAATTTCATATGCAACATTTTTCAATTTTCTAGGCGTCTTTTTAGCTACCGGACACCGTTCTCAACAAAATAATCTAAGTTTAGGGGCGCAGATTCAAGGAACCATTTTGATATCCGTGATAATTGTTAAGCGGTAAGCATCTCAGACAAGTATTATTAAAGAGCGACTATAAAGACTGTCTGCTCGCCTTCCATTACCTTTTCTGACTATTACATCCTGATCATTCAAGTGCTGCCATAGTAATCTTAACCTTTGCTTTGTCACTAATTATTTCCTGTTTAATTTTATACATGCTGTAATCTGAAATAGACAAAGGTATGGAAATACAAAATGCTTCATCTCCTTGCTAAGCACTGTTCAACTTGCTACATAAAATACTTATTGCAGGAACTAGAGCTTATCATGGTATCAGAGCCTCTTAGTGTTCACACCTTCAAGTTCTATGATGGGTGACGGAGGTCGGAAAGACCATAGTTTGGCGACGAAGGCCGAAAGGACGTAGTCTGGCGACGGAGGCCGGAAGGATCATAGTCGGTGAGTGACGGAGGTCGGAAAGACCATAGTATGGCGGAGGAGTGTGAAACCCCATAAGTAAAAGAAACTAAACTATTAAACATGGAGGTGCCTCTTGGTGTAATGGCTGGAATTTTCGTAAGAAACTTCGCAGTTAAGCATGCTCATTTTGGAGCAATTCTGAGATTGATGACCTATTGGGAAGTTATATCAATCCCTACCACCCATCACCTATTCCAACATCTCGGCTACCCTCCACCATCAACCACATCGTCACTACTAAAAAAAAAATTGAATTTACACTATAATTTTAAATTATAAATACTTGCAACCAGATACCCCAAAATAGGAACAGAAAAAAAAGCCTAAATAGAAATAGGATCATATTACTCAACTAAAATTAGTTGCAAAAATTAAAGTTCAAATGCAAAGAAAATCTACATTGTGGACCTTTCACCAATGTTTGCACAGCCCACATACATGGCCATAAGTTTTTTTTTTTATAAATAACCAAGAAAATTATATCGACTCTCACATAAATAAATCTAAGGGAAGGAAGTTGCATGCTTGTTATTCAACATAAATGCCAATGGAAGAAAGGCTGGAACTATTTGTACTTCCATGGAAGCCCCTCACGCCGCTAGTCGTCTTAAAGGAAAATGGCTTATTTTTTGGCGGATTATACGGATTATCTTTGCGATCGGGACCATTAATTCCATATGGCCCATAAGTTTTCCCGCTGGCTGTTACAAATTTGAGAGACGTTAACAATTGTTTTGGATTGTATCCACAGTGCTCAGTAGAATAACAGCCACCAACTGAAATAATCAGATCATCAGCAGATATCTGCACATTAGAGAACATTTCAGCATTCTTTCTTTAACAATAATTATTAACAATTTAACAAGTTAGATCAGAAAGACTGTATCCAATTGCTAGAAAAGCTAGAATTATAAATTTTTATTGAAATGGAATAATGTTTAATACAATAGTTCTTATAAATAAGCCATAAAATAGAGTGATTAATATGAAAAGAATATATCATAATAATAATTATTTTGATTGATATTTTTGAAATTTAAATAAGATTATTCAGGAAGTTTTTTTTTGTACCTAATGAAAAAAAATTTGTATATTTAGATTTTTTTAAAAAAATATGCAAAATAATCTAATTAAATAATGAAACAAACTCATATATTGACAAATGAAACAAACGCACCTAATATTTTGAATATTTTAACCGATAATATATATAAAGATCTATCAACTTGTTGAAATACTTACATTAATCTCATCAAAAAAGTCAGTGAAGACGCTGCTTCCATGCATGGGTGAAAGAACTGTACTGTTGCTGGGATCTAAATATGCAACTTGGATGGAGTTGACAGAATTCTCGGAGTAGCAAACGTAAATATGACGAATGGCAAGATGGAAGCCATCATCCCAGTTCTGAACACCATTTCCTGTGCTTGATCCGCACGCACCTACCTTTACATAAATCTTACTCTTTTCCTGCGCTTAATCTCATTTTCAATACTTAGCAAAGTAGAATTTTAAGTTTTAACAGAAATAAAGAGAAGTGTAGGTATGTTTACCGAAGTCATTGGCGAACAGATGAGAAAGAATATTGTTGCTTCCTTTGCATGTAAAATGTAGCGAACAGATCTAAACAATTAAAATAGCAGCTATCAATATGCGCATACGGAACCATGATATATACTATCTGTATATAAATAGAGCGATTGGGAGACTATTGGGTTTCCTGTATTAATTGCTTTTATTTTTCTCTTCAATTTCATACGCAGCATTTTTCAATTTTCTAGGCGTCGTTTTAGCTACCTGTCAGTCTGTCACCGTTCTCAGCAAAATAATACAAAGTTTAAGTAGGGCGCAGAACACAACTCCCTTTGGCCTATTGGTTGAGAGCTTAGGCTTCCAACTAAGAGGTCCAAGGTTCGAGTCCATGTGTATGCGTTGTGTGTGTGAGTTTGCCTTAAATGGCCTAAATGTCCCAAAAAAAAAAAGTAGGGCACAGATTCGAAGAACCATTTTGATATCCGTAATAAAGGAAATTAGTCTGTGCGACTCTAATCCGTGGTCTGATACTATTTTTTGGGCTAATTTATTTTCTGCACTTACATGATTTTTTTTACTAACCATTGACCGGACAGCCCGGCCCAATCTTGAGGTAATATTTTTTCAAAACAGGAACCCTTTGTTGTCGGAAAATACTTTTCAACTTAAAAAAATGATTATTTTCTTCACAAACCGTTCTTTTGTCTTCAAGTAGACATGTTCTTCGTGTTTACTGTTTAGGACAAGCTCTTTCCTCACAAAATTTTTTTTTTTTCATGTAAATTTAATTTTCTTGGTTGTTTCTAATTTTCAATTATTTTAATATCAACACTTTGAAGCCATAAGCGATGAACTTGTATAAAGTGTTTTTTGTTTCTTTATAACTGAAATTATTTTGTGTGGAATCCGGACTCAGAATTTACATACATCAGGTTTTATGATGTCATGTATTATATTTGTCCCAACATTTATTATTTTGACTTCACACAGAATAATTTCAGATTTTTTATTTTGCTTGCATAGTTTATTTATAAGTCAATTATGTAGGGTTCAAATAATTGTACACACTATGTGCAATAGCTTTAAAATACATATAATGCATTTGATAATGAGGAAAAAAATTTTATAAGCTTGTGCATTTTAGCAGAAATCTAAACCAGTTGTGTACACTATGTACAAGCCCTTTCTTAACCTCATTTCTGTAAGAGGTCATCAGATCTACCTGTATTCTTTTTTAGTGACCTGATGATTAACAAGTGTCTACTTATTAACCATATAGGTCCCAATCAAATGACAATCCAGCTCTTAATCAAAACGTCTACTCCAGCCTTTAATCCTATACTTTTAATCCTGATCCTCAATCAAGCTTCAAATCATATACAGTCAACTACAATCATCTATTTGATTGTAATTGGTATGAATAATTGAAACTCAATCATTCAAAACCAAAATCTAGCCCAAATTTAGAATTCCAAACAAAATCCTAGGTTTAAGGATCCATGCCCTGAAACACTTTCTGTGTGATTTTTCAATCACCTTAAAATACAGTTAAATGACCTATGATTCATGAGCTATCGATTGCATATTGATTAAGCATGTCCCTAGAGTCAACCTTTTAAATTTGAGCTCAATATGACCCTCCCCTAGTTCCAAAAACTACATATACACTTCAATCCCTCTTAAGCCCTTTGACCAAGGCTTTGCCAATCCCATTTGGACCAATGGGACCATCCATTGGACCCCTAAGGATGTTTCCTTGAAGACCTAAGACTTGGGCCCACTTGGGTTAACCATATGACTTGTCCCAAGTGTCCAAAGAGAGGTCTCCATGAGCCAAATCTCAACCCAAACCAAATCAATTCAAACCAATGGTTGCATTGGGTCCCCTATAACCCAATGTACATAACCTATGTAACCCAGCTCTTGGGTCAACTCAGGTTTAAATTGGGCTAGCCAAAAATGGTCAAATCCACTAAGGGTTGAGCCATTTCTCAACATAGTCTCCACCAACCCAAACCAAAACTTCCATTGGGTAGCCCTATGTCTAACACGCATGCCCTAGTCAGCTCATCCCTTGGGTTGACTTGGGTCAACACCTAAGCTAGCTCAAAGTGGTCAAAACTAATTTGACTTGAGCCAACTTTCACCATAGACCAAATTTAGCTCAACTGCCTATTGCATTGGATAGATTTTGATCCAATGTACCTTCCCAATCAAACATAGACCCTGACTTGACCCAATCTACATTCAACTTGATCCAAACTATACATATTTGGGTCAACCCAAGCCGCTTTAGTGAATTGGGCCTTCTCGGGCTCAATTGAGCTCGCTAGTTGACTCACCAAACCCCCAACAAGCTTTCCACCTCATCCTGGTTCAGCCAATGTTCGGTGGGGGCTAGAGAGAATAGGGGAAAGCTCATCCCTTCATCCATATTACCTACTACACCTTCCTCTACATCAGTATCTCCCTCCACTTCCACCAGAGACCTTTCACCCCAAAATTATGTTTATGTTAGTTCTTCCAATTCCTCTGCACCATCTCCTGATTTACCTATTACTCCACCTCTGCTAGTCTAACCCAAACATCATATGGTCAACTGTCTCCAAACTGGGCACTCAACCTGAGCGAAATTTTGATCTTCAACAAGTAGTGAAACATTCAGTCTGGCGAAAAGCCTTGTCATCGCCAATACCATATTTTCTCAAATTTATTATATAACCAATCAAATTTATAAATTACTAAAAAAATAAATTTACTTTACACAATAGCTTTAAATTATACATGCTTGCAACCCAAAAAACCTATAGGAACAAAAAAAAAAAAAAAAAAAAAAAAAAAAAAAACCAAAATAGAAGTAGAATCATATTACGAGTAAAATTAGTTGTAGAAATTAAAGTTCAAATGCAAAGAAAATCTATAGGACTGTGGACCTTCCACAAATGTTTAAGCAACTCATATACATGGCCATAAGTTTTTTATTTAAAAACGCCTTAAATAAGCAAGAAATTTATATCAACTCTCATAAATAAATCTACGAGACTGAAGATGCTTGTGATTGAGCATAAATGCCAATGGAACAAAGGCTGGAATCATTTGCGCTTCCATGGAAGCCCCTCACGCCACTACTAGTCGTAAAGCAAAATGAATTATTTATGCTGTGATAAGAAGAATTATTTTTGCGATCGGAAGCTTTCATTCCATATGGTCCATAAGTTGGCCCGCTGACTGTCTCAAATTTTAGAGACGTTAACCGCTGTTTTGTTTTGTTTATATTGTAGCCATCAGCCTCAGTATAAGAGCCACCAACTGAAATAATCGGATCATGAGGAGATATCTGCTCATTCGAGTATATGTTTCAGCATACTTTCTTTAACAACAATTTAACAAATTAGCAGCTAAGCAGTATCCAGTTGCCAGGAAAATAAGAATTATAATATTTTTTCATTGAATTTGAATAATATGTTTAATATAGAAATTATTAAAAATCGGCCATAAAATAGAGTGATTACAAATAAATATTTTTTTATTGTAATAATATATCATAATAATGTATATTATGTTTTTTTATTATAAATATAAAATATGTATATAACTCTAGCAACATGAATAATAGGCATTTCTTTTTAAAATATATAGAATTTTGATTTTTCTGATTTTATATATAAATAATCCTTAATTCATTGTAAAATGAATGCCAGGATCAAAAATATTTTTGAAATTTCAGTAAGAATTATATTAAAAGTTTTTTTTTCCTACTTAATGAAACAAAAATGTATATATTTAGATTTTTTAAATGTGCAAAATAATCCAATTAACCAATGAAACAAACTCATCTATTGAAAAATGAAACAAGCGCAGCTAATATTTTGAATATTTTAACCGATAGCATATACATTTAAATCTCTCTCTATTTGCTGAAATACTTACATTAATTTCTTCGAAGAAGTCAGTGGAGAGAGTGTTTCCATGCTTGGGTGAAAGAACTGTACCCTTACTGGGATCAAAATAAGCAACTTGGATACAGTTGACAGAATTCTCAGTGTAGCAAACGTAAATATGACGAATGGCAAGATGGACGCCATCATCCCAGTCCTGAACATTACTAAGTCCAGCGGTCGATCCGCATGCACCAACCTTTATATAAATCTCACCATTTTCCTGCATTTAATCTCATTTTCGACACTAAAGAAAGCATAATTTTAAGTTTTGACAGGAGTATATAGAGAAGTGTAGGTATCTTTACCGAAGTCATTGGCGAACAGATGAGAAAGATTGCTGCTTCCTTTGCTTGTAAATGTAGCAAACAGATCTATTCAATCAAAATATAATAACTATAAATATGCGCATAAGGAACCATGACATATACTCTCTGTATATAAATAGAGCGATTGGGGCCATTGGTTTCCTGTATTAATTGCTTTTATTTTTTTCTTCAATTTCATATGCAACATTTTTCAATTTTCTAGGCGTCTTTTAAGCTACCTGTCACCGTTCTCAACAAAATAATCTAAATTTAGGGGCGCAGATTCAAGGAACCATTTTGATATCCGTAATAATTGTTAAGCGGTAAGCATCTCAGACAAGTATTATAAAAGAGCGGCTATAAAGACTGTCTGCTCGCCTTCCATTACCTTTTTTGACTATTACATCCTGATCATTCAACTGCTGCCATAGTAATCTTAACCTTTGCTTTGTAACTAACTGTTTCCTGTTTAATTTTATACATGCTGTAATCTGTAATAGACGAAGGTATCGAAATACAAAATGCTTCGTTTCCTTGCTAAGCAGTGTTCAACTTGCTACAGAAAATACTTATTTCAGGAACTATAGCTTATCATGGTTTTAGAGCCTCTTTGCGTTCACAGCTTCATGTTCTGTGATGGATGATGGAGGTCAGAAAGATCATAGTTTGACAATGGAAGTCGGAAGGATCGTAATTTGACAATGGAAGCCGGAAGGATCATAGTCGGCGGGTGACGGAGGTCGGAAAGACCATAATCTAGCGATGGAATGTGAAACCCTTTCAGTAAAAGAAGTTAAACTATCAATATTATCTGACAAAAATAAAATACATTACTTATAAAGTGTGTTAATTAATATACTTTAATCAATATAGATCAACCAAATATAATGAATAATACTAAGTTATATATTGCCATATGTGACTTTTCTTTCACTTCTATTAACTATCTAGCTAGCATCATGTAACATAAGAATACTAAAAGAGAAAAATATGGGAAATATCATTATTATTTTAGATATTCAAATAGTCTCCTAATGCCTTAAAATGACTAGTATTTGGATTTTTTGTGTCGCATTTCAGCATATCCACAATGGTAGAGGAAGTTAAACGCAGCCTTGTACAAAAATCAAATGTACACACAAATAAAAAATGAATATAAATGACACTATGGGTTTTTATCTAAGAAAGCAAAAAAAAGAGAAAAAATCAAATATCTTGGCTTAGTGAAATGATTCTACTAGTGTTTATTAATGGTTAATGGGAGCACTGCACCACTCTCAAGTTTGGGCGCCACAGCGCTAGGCCAAATTCTCTTATTAAAAATGTCATTTTTCAGTATTCAGTTCACTCATGCTTATGCAAGATAGACAACTAGAGAGAGAGAGAATAGAGATTTTTAGAGAGGGAGTCCATTTTGGGCTGCTTTTGGTCATTTTTCAGCCATCGGCCCAATTTTGAGAATTGTCTAAATCGGATAGGTCATACTATGCCTATCTTAATTTTGAACAATATGGAGATTTTGAATTTCTTAATTAAATTTATAATTTTATTGACAAAAAATGAGAATAACTTCACACTAATAAAATTTTCATCGTGCAAATTTCTAAATGAAATAGTGATCACGATTCTGAATATTTTGAATATTTTTTGAAAAAATTACATTGGGAGTTTTAGAAATTAAGTTATTTAATTAATTAGAAAATAATTTTGACTTTTAAAAAAATACTATTGTAATACAATTAAAGGTTTAAAATAATGTTCTACATAATCTTTTAATAATTTGGTCATATGCATGGTTGCATATTTTGCTGCCACACCTTATAACAAATTTTATAATTCTATGATATTTAAGAGTTTTGATTTGAAAGTTTGTCTTTTGGGAGTTATAAGTCATAATCTTTTAGATAATATTTGACTCATGAGACCTAAAATTCAGTAAAAATTTATATGTTAGGAGTCATAAGGGGCAAGAATTTCTGAATTATGTCTGATAAAGGATAAATTCTATTTTTTTGGGAGTCAAAAGGGGCTAAATTCTTAGGATTTAATTTGGTAAAGGAGAAATTTGTTACTTTCTATTATGAGATATGAAGTTGAGATGAAGTTCATATAAAATTATTGTTTATTTAATTTTTCCAAAATTGTTAATTGCATTACGAACATTGTTCTTACTATTCTGCTCAACACAATGATTTGTTATGTTATATTTAATTATTCTTGTGAATACTTAAGAAAAAAATGATTAAAAGCTTGGAAGATATTCGTGGCATGCTGAGCTGTGTTAGCTTACATATATTTTGTTTTCTAATTTCTTAGTTTGAAAAGGGAAATAGCTCGTTGAGTAGGAATTTCAGGGGTTTTGATTTGAGTATGTATAGAAATTTTTGCTTTGATTTGTGGATGATCATTGATATATCATAAAAAAATTATCTTGATTGGGCACGAATCTCAAGGCAAAATCAACCCGGAAACTTCAAAATTTAAATTCGGGATCACCTGAACTCCGATTTCAGCAAACTTATAGTCGAACTGAGCGTCTCAGAAACACAAACCCAACGACATCAAATTCAACTCAATCCAAGCCCAAATGAGCCCAAATCAAGCACCCAAAGTGCTGTTAGAAAGTTCATACCGCAATTTGAGTTACCAAATGGTCTCCAATTTTGACGAGCTTATAGTCGAATCGAACGGCTCGACAAGAGGAATCCAACGAGCCCAAGATCGCCGAATTCCGACATCATTAAGACATTCAAATGTCTGACAAACGATGCATGATCAAGGGATTCAATATCAATCGTCCATTCGACCACTCCCTATTTGCCCCTGATCTCACACCTATTTACAAGCTATGCCACTTTAGAAAATCTATAAATAGACCTCTCATTTCTCATGAGAGGGGACCCCAAGCAAGAAGAAGAGAAAAGAAAAGAGAAGGATAGGAGGGAATAACCCCTCCGCGACCACCGCCGGAGTTCTTCCCGCCGCCTGAGTAACGCTGAAATCCGGCTGGACATCCGGGTGACGCCAGAATTCTTCCTAAGCAACATCAAAGTTCTGTTCGACGCCGGAATTCAGTCCAACTTTCGGACGACACCTGAATTCTGCCCAATCTCCTTAGTGACGCCGGCACTCTGCTCAACTTTGTAATTGAATCTCAACTTAGAAGAGATTCATTGTAATCTGATCATCCTAACTTTGTGGACGAGTCAGACTCTTGTATTTCAAACAAAACACTTGTGGAACTATTTCAACTGGCCGGCGAGGCCCCGTGAATTTTTCCCTTTCAGGGTTTCCACGTAAATTAGGATAGGAACTTGGAATATAGGTTCTCTTACAGGAAAATTAATGGAATTAATAGATATTATGATTCATAGGAAGTTAAATATTTTGTGCATTCAGGAAACTAAATGGGTTGGAGAGAGTTGTTGTTGTTGTAGGGTTTCCACGTAAAAATTCTTGTGTTATTGTTTCTTCTCTATTTGTGTGCTAGATATCCATACAACGCTAAGACGAAAATTTCTTAACTCTACCGCCGCGTATATTCTAGTCCGCAACAATCATAACTATTTTTCTTTCTATATTTTGTAGCTTTTATATGTAGCCATGCATTGTGATTGTATATACATTTTAATTATAAATGAAAAGTGAAATTTTTGGATAACTTATGTTCTGTGCACACATACAATTATTAGTGACTATGTATTTATTTTAGTTTTAAAGTTAAATTTTGGAAGAAATCTCTAAAAAAAATTCAAAATTAGATTTTGAGGTTCACGTGTTATGGCTCAACATGATAGTACCTACTCAGGCTTTGGCTTCTATAGGTTTGGTTGTGATAGCTAGCGGGTGGAGGCGGGCAGTAAAAGTGGTGGTTAGTGGTGATGGGAGGACGACGATGGGTGGCGGTGACTGTTAACAGTGGTTATTAAAGATGGGTGGAGGCGATTTAAGATGGTGGTGGTGGTGGGTGGTGCTGGTTGGTGGTGATCGTCGATGGTGATATGATGGATAAGCAAGCTTGCTTGCGGTGTAAATAATTCTCGTTGAAAACTGAACGAGTTTAACGAGTTTAGTTTATCTCAAAAGTTAATAAAATGGCTTACATTATATATAATTTTATCTTATTTTGGATTCCTTTTCATCCCGCGAAACAACAATATTTTAAAAAAAAATTATACATATGTAATACTTTATACCACTTCTAACGAAACAACCCCTTAGTAAATCTTGAGTGTGTTAAATGTTAAAAATTATTTGGCAAGATAGCTTCTAAATCCTGTGAAACTGTTAATTTGATAACGTAATATGGGATTTAAGATGATTAGTTCAACAAAAGCTCTAATTTAATTTATACATTAAATAAGTTATTAATTCTAATTTAACTTAAGGTCAATAAATTACAATTACAAATAAGTTAATTAGAAGATAACTTAATTATTAAATAACTTAAACTAGCAATTTAGTCATTAATTATAACATTAATTATCTAGTTATTTATTTAGATGTTAATTTAATAACTATTTGAATACTAATTATATTGATAATTATTTGAAAAAGTGATTATTTAATTGCTACTTACACTACTAATTGTTTAATTAAAATTTTATATAATTAATGAATTAGTTACTAATTATAGTATTAATTATCTAATTAGATGTTATTTTAATAAGCATTTAATTATTAATTAAACTTATAATTATCTAATTAATTATTTTAATTAATTACTTACTTTTATTTACTTTATTAATTATTTTCTTAATGAATAATTTAATTAATTAAGTTAATGTGTCTTAATTAATTATAAAGGAATTAAAACTATGGGAGCAAGTTATTGAGCGTAGGTTGCGGCGTGATACTAACGTTTCTCAAAATCAATTTGGATTCATGTTGGGTACGTCTACTATTATTGAGAGGTTTGATGGAGGAATTTAGAGAGAATACGAAGGATATACATATGATTTTTATTGATTTAGAGAAAACATATGATAAAGTTCCAAAAGAAGTGCTATGGAGAGTTCTTGAAAAGAAATGAGTTAATAATGCTTATATTCAAATCATTAAAGATATGTATGCAGGAGTTATTACTTGTGTTCAAATACAAGTTGGTTTGACCAAGTATTTTCCTATTTCGATTGGAGAACATCAAGGACCAGCCTTAAGTTTTTTGCTTTAGTCATGGATGTTCTCACTAAACATTTGCAATAGGATGTACCTTGATGTATGCTTTTTGCTGATGATATTCTTCTTGTTGATTAAACTAGAGAGAAAGTTGGAAGGTAAACTTGAATTATGGAGGTCAACCTTAGAGTCTAAAAGTTTTCTCTTGAGTAGATCTAAAATTGAATATATGGAGTGTAATTATAATAGCAATTGATCTAGTGAAGGGATTGTGACTTTGGGCGATCAAGTTATTAATATGAGTACATATTTTAGATATATTAGATATATTGTTCAGAGTGATGGTGAAATAGATGGGGATATTATCTGCATAATTCAAGTTGAATGGTTGAAATGGAGGAATGCATCGAGCTTTTTGTGTGATAGAAAAATCCCCCTTAAACTTAAGGGAAAATTCTATAAGATGATGGTGAGACCTGCAATACTTTATGGTGCCGAATGTTGGCCATTAAAAGGGAAGCATAATACTAAGTTAAGCGTTGAAGTGATAAGGATGTTTAGGTGGATGAGTGATTTTACCCTTAGAGATAGGATATGAAATGAGCATATACATGGATGAGTAACTCTAGTGGAAGATAATATTTGAGAGAGTCGCCTTAGATGATTTGGTCACATTAAGCGGAGGGTTTTTGATGACCCGATTAGAAAGTTGAGGTATTAGATTTAACATATGTTAAGAAAGATAGAGGTAGACCTATAAAACTTGGTTAAAAATATTAGAAATGATATTTCTTTATTATATTTAAATGAGAATTTTACTTTTAATAGGGCACAATGGCGAAAAAATATTCGTGTAGCCGACCCCATGTAGCGGGACAAATACTTGATGTTGTTATTATTGTTGAATAATTTAATTAATTATTTAGATGTTATTTTAATATATTTTTTTTGGAGAAACATTTTAATAAAATTTTAATTACTATCTAGACCTGAGGCCCGTACTCCACTTTTTCTTTCGACTTCGCCTACTTCCTCTCTGTTGTGGTTAGACTTCGCCTGCTTCGCGTGAAATAGAGTTTCGAAGAGTTAGCTTCGCCTGCTTCGCTTGAACGATTCCGCCTCCTTCGTCGACGTGGTCTTCCTGTCGATCGGAAGTCAGGAAAGTTTGCGTTCTTCCTTCGCCACCTTCGACGACGTTCTCCTTCGCCTCCTTCGACGACGTTTTTCGCTTCCTTCGAAGACGACGGGAGTTCGCTCACTGCGAAGGTACCCATCTTTCTCCTTTTCGCGGTCTTCTTCGGCCAAACCGCGTAAATCCGCCGAACCCTAGGATTTAGTAAATCCCGGATTTACGCCAAAAATCGGCTAACGGCAACTTTACCTCATCCTGAGATCCACGGGACTCTCAAATCCCGTTTGGCAAGATTTATGCTAAATCCTGCATAAATTCCTTTGCCAAACAGCCCCTAAGGATTGCTGGCAGTTAATTTAGCTTCATCATCATAAAAATCACAATGTGGAGCATAATAGTACAAGATTAGGTGATCTGTGATGGCATCTTTGCCAGCTTGAGAGCTTAGGCGGGTTTGCATTGAAATCCTAAGTGATGGTGCTTAGGTGAGGTTGTAGGCGGCTGATGTTGAATCAAAGAAAAAGCCTTTATGTGTTCTTTATTTACTTTTTGTTATTTGTTGCATATTTATTCACTTTCTTTATTGTTGAATACTGTGATTACATCGACTCACACTTACCCACTCGCCCACAATTCACCTCTCCTCTTAGTTATGCCTCAGCCATCATTCTCCTCTTCTCGTTCTCCATGCCCTTGCCTCTTCAGAAGTCATCCTGTTGATGGTTAGCCCTACTTGTTATGCTTGATATTAGATAGGAATTAGTAGCTCAAAATTGGATGAATTTTGGAAGAAGCCTTTTTTATAATTATTTTTGCGTTAGAAGGATCACATTTTGTTCTATTTTGACCACCTGAGCTGATTAGGGCACACTCCTTAGGATTTTTATGAAGTTAAGTCAAGGAAATGGGATGAAATACTAATAATTTATAGGTTGATGAATCTATGACCATTAATTTAAGATTTTTATTTTATTTTTATCATTTACTGTTGCTCAAATTCCGAGCATCCAAACACAACCTTAGAGAGATAATACACAAATCTAATGGTCTCACTAAAATGCTTTGGAACATATTGGAACTTGAGATTAGCATAAATATGTAATTACTAACATGTGAATGTTAATGAAAACTTGAGAGAGCTGTAGCCATATTCATGAAAATCATCAAGTTGGATTGTTCTAGGAAAAACCTTTCCTTGGTTCATCATAAAGTTATCGAAGGGACCCTATAGCATATGGGATAGATATTATTGCTCTGTTTGATTTTTTTTCCTACTACTGTTCACTAAAGACAAAAATGTAGTATAGATTCCAAAAAGAATTATACGAATGCCATTGTATGAGAGTTGAAGTTTTCAAATTTGATGGAATATCATTTTTTTTCTGAGATATGATAAGTACCATGTGTATATATTACTTTTGGATATTTAAATTCATATCTCAATTTAATAACTTCCATCTCGTAATAGTAGAGTCTATTTATTTTTTGAAAGCCATCTTGTCTGAACATTTAAAGATAGCAAATAAAAGATTTAGCAGGATGGAAAAACTTTAATAGATGCTCCATATTATGGCCTTGGGAGAATCCTTTGATTAACTTCATGCCAATGAAGAAGTAAGAGTCCTTTATAAATAGAAGGAAAGTGGCTTCCTATCTTGGGTTTCATATGATGCGATGACTAAGAAAATGAGATGCCAAGGGGAGGGTAATCTTTATGGGAGCAACCTAATGTCTTCTGCCCAAACCTTGTATTTTTTTGAAAAATTAATGGTCGCACTCAGCCAAATCTATTAATAAAGCTTGTTTATAAAGAGGAAGTAGCCCCCCAAAATTACAAAATATAGTAACCTTTGAAAAAGTGTATTAAAAAACACAACAAAAATAAAAGCTCCTAAAATAAAAGTAGTAATATGTGCAAGTCCATTTAAAATCATGGCAGCAACACAAATAAACTAGAGCTGAAAATTGAGGTAAAGAGTACAGTAGAAGAATTGCCATCATTGAAAATATAAATTTTTAATCAAAGCAGGAATATCAGCTTTAAACTTCCACTTTTTGCTCTTATGACGGTGAAGAAAGCAAATTATTTCCACGAGCATATTTAACGGGGAACTAATTTCTGTAAAGATTTTATAATTTTTTTTCACCCAAATTTAGGGGGTGGCAATTTGTATGGCTAACAAATAAAACTTCCTAGTGATTAGAGAAGTTAACACATCAACATGTTGAAGGACTTGGGATAAATTGCAGCTCAAATGGAAGAAATGCTCCTCCGTAATGCAGTTTCTAAGAAGGTTTAATAAGAAATGACTATCAAAGAAAAAGTGAGAGTGAGTTTCATAGTATGAGTTGTAAAGAACCCAATATTGGTTGGTTTTCACATCTCTAGATGTAAGAAAATCTATAGTTTTCAATCCTCCAACTATAGACTTCTAACCAAACATGAAAAATTAATAGCACACCCTTTGAACTAAATATAGTTGTTCCAACTTACCCAGGGAGATTTGGTATAAAGCAATGAGTAAATATTCTTATAGGAGAAGTTATCATTACCATTCAAGTGGCAGCAGTTGGTGGAGTTGTATATTTGTATGCTTTTAATTTGTTGGATGCATAAGCTACTATTTGAAATATATATTGGGGGAAGCACCAAGCTCCATCCTTAATGAATTAGCTGACATTGGCATTTTTTATGTGATTGAACCAATTAAAAATAGAATCATCATATATATTATGCAATGACTGACCATTTATCCAGAGGTCATGGAAAAAGAGAGGGAGGAGACAACATTGACTTTATATAGAAGCCAGCTATGAATTTTTAGGCAACCTTACAAGTGGCTTTTTAGAAAAGGGAAGGCTTGTTACATGATTTATTCCATAATGTATCATAGTGATTGTATAACCGAGAAGCAAGGTAGGGCTTAGTGGATTTCAGAAGTCAGTTTTTCTTTATTCATAGAAATTATGGTGTCCCGCGAGGGGAGGCTCAATCTACCATTTTCTTTAGGCAATGTGGTAGTGTTCCAATAGATGGTGCATATTTTATTCACCTTGCAATTTTTATGAAGGAAATTACTTAAGAGGCTAAAATTTTCTTCTCAAGGCCTTTAACAAGGGTGGTGGATCTGAAACAATAGTGAAGATAGTTCTAGATGGTGGAAAGAACCAATTGAAACCTGTCTGTAGGGGGAGAGTAGCTTTTGTTTCTATCTACTTATTTAGTTGTGAAGCTTATTTATGATTTTGAAACATTCATTGTTCTTGATTTTGGATGTAGTCTGGGTAATGTCAAGATAGTCCCAATGGAGATTTTTTGGGGCTGTTTGAAAACAAGTGAGATTTAACTTTAGTGGGATTTAGTAAATCCTGTAAATCCGGATTTAGTAAATCCGAAATGTGCTAAATCCTGAAAACTGTTTGTTATGTCAAATGTTAAATCTTGTTAAATCCTTAGAAATTGTTTGGTAACATATTTCAGGATTTATGGCAGTTAGAGATTTAAATGTGAAGAATATAATTATAAATTAAAAAATAAATTTATAATTAAAAATAAGAATTAATGTGTTATAAATTTAATAACATATTAAGTAAAAATTATTCATTAATTATTATTTACACTATTAATTAAATATTTAATAATACATACATATTAAGTTATATTAATTAAGCTAATTCTATTAATATTTAATTACTAATTGTACAATTAAGTTAAATTAGATAATAAATTTATGCACTAATTATACAA